ATATATATATATATATAAATTGCTTATATCAATTGTCAATTAAATAATCTTTAATTACATTGACTACGTTCAATCGTTAATCAAATAATTTTTAATTACTGTCGCTCGTTTTAATTGTTAATTCAACAGTTTTTAATTAAATTCTTTCAAATCAATCGTTAATTGAATGATTTTTAATTAGTTTTCTTGAAGTCAGTGGTTAATTAAAATATTTTTAATTGAACAGGCTTATATTAATCGTCAATTAATTAAATTAGAAATTATTTACTCAAATCAATTATTTTGGCGAATTTAAATGATATTGAGGCGAATTTAATTGATATTTTTACAACTCGGATTTCAGAATATGTGTTATATATAACAACCTTATCCTTTCAATAAAATTCTTCTGATCTCTTGTTTGTGTAAAACAAGCTCAAGATTTAGTTTAATCAGACGATCGTAATGCTGACCTAACACATTATTAGAATGTATTTATATCTTCTGATCTTTATTTATATCAATCTTTTAATAATTAAAAAACATGTATATCGTATATAATAACTAGTTTCATCAATTATTTGATATTCATTGAATTTTGCAGTTAAAATTCACACGTCAGATTGTTGATATGACTCTACTTTTCGTTAATTTGATTCGATTACAGTTTATTCAACCAGATTTTTGTGTAACTCTGAAAAAGAATTACCTCTTTTCACTCGATTACTTTCTTTTCACAAGATTCTTTTTTTATTCAATGTACTTTCAGATTCCCGAGTTGTTCTATCCACCTAAAATGATTTCAAATATCAATATTTATAATACCGGACTTTCTCTCTCTCTCTCTTTCTCCCTCTCTCTCTCTCTCTCTCATGCCGATTTTGTAATGCGTAAATCTACGTTTGCGTTCACTACATCAAAGCTGCTTGTTCACGTCATAGTTACATTGCAGTTTGTCGGCGTACATCCGTAATGCTACTTTTAGACGCTTTAGGATGAATTTTCGCGTCCGCACAAATGACAAATGAGATTATCACGTGATCGTATGTGGGATAAGCATACGCGAACTATACAATGCATGCGAGGAAATCCCAGTTACCGCCATTCGGCAACGCCAGCCGTAAATTATAGTAGCGTACCGAGAATACTTGCGATTCCTCGCTTCTGAATAATTGCTACTGCCTGCAGCCACCTGCAGATATAATCCTATTATAGTATATTACTTTCCCGCGGCAAATGAAGCCAAGATTTCAGCGGTTGACAGTTTGCCAGCAGTCCCACAAATATATATACTTGTGTTTCAATCAAATGCATTTTAAGGTGAATAGGCGAACGGAATGACGGGAGCACTTTAGTGCAGTTCGATAAAACGGAGCCAACGCGACAAGGAGAGATTTAATGAGAGAAATACTAAACAATAACCATTGTTTAGTATTTTAATTTTTTATTGAATATCTCGGAGCTCTTCTGAGTTTTTATTTGCTTAATAACAGTCTTTCCAATATAAAGTGTGTTTCCATATTATATTATATACTTTTTGTTGACCATATTTTTTTAATGGCATCGTGTTTGGCTTTAAATAGATATGTACTTTCCTCGTCAGCATATATATAAAAGTATTAAAATAAGATCAATGCGAAAAATGAGTACTTCACCAGATATTTCACATTTTTTTACTTTGATTCCATATTTTATATTTAATATAATATTTTATATTCTCGGTATTATTCAATGTAATATAAAAAATTTTATATTTAGTAAAATCGATATAATTTTCGTCGGCCACATTTTTTTTAATGGTATCGTATTTGGCTTCAAATAGATATATTCTTTCCTCGTCAGTATGCATAAAAATGTTAAAATAAGATCAACGCGAGAAATGAGTACTTTACCATATATTTTACATTTTTTTACTTTGATTCCATATTTTATATTTCATTGTAAAAAATTTAATATTTCGTAAAATCGATATATTTTTTGTTGGCCACATTTTTTTAATGGTTTCGTGTTTGGCTTTAAATAGATATGTACTTTCTTCGTCAGCATATATATAAAAGTATTAAAATAAGATCAACGCGAAAAATGAGTACTTCACCAGATATTTTACATTTTTTTTACTTTGATTCCATATTTTATATTTCATTGTAAAAAATTTAATATTTCGTAAAATCGATATATTTTTTGTTGGCCACATTTTTTTAATGGTTTCGTGTTTGGCTTTAAATAGATATGTACTTTCTTCGTCAGCATATATATAAAAGTATTAAAATAAGATCAACGCGAAAAATGAGTACTTCACCAGATATTTTACATTTTTTTTACTTTGATTCCATATTTTATATTTCATTGTAAAAAATTTAATATTTCGTAAAATCGATATATTTTTTGTTGGCCACATTTTTTTAATGGTTTCGTGTTTGGCTTTAAATAGATATGTACTTTCTTCGTCAGCATATATATAAAAGTATTAAAATAAGATCAACGCGAAAAATGAGTACTTCACCAGATATTTTACATTTTTTTTACTTTGATTCCATATTTTATATTTCATTGTAAAAAATTTAATATTTCGTAAAATCGATATATTTTTTGTTGGCCACATTTTTTTAATGGTTTCGTGTTTGGCTTTAAATAGATATGTACTTTCTTCGTCAGCATATATATAAAAGTATTAAAATAAGATCAACGCGAAAAATGAGTACTTCACCAGATATTTCACATTTTTTTTACTTTGATTCCATATATTTTATATTTTATTGTAATATTAAACACTTAATATTTCGTAAAATCGATATACTTTTTGTTGACATTTTTATATTTTTATGCATTATGACTTAGAGAGAATAAATAAGGGAAAAATAATAATAAAAATACATAACCGGGAACATCCGAATACCCGAGTAAGAACTTGAATACTCAGGTAGTATACGCGACAGTCGAGTATTCAGAATTGACTATGGCTTATAGTGTAGTAGTGAATATCCTTTCTCGGACAAAAATGAAGATATAGTTCGTCGATATCTGTACGAATTGCAAGATCTCGACCGCTTCAAAGAATTATTAGGTCGTGGACATGGGAAATTCGAGGTAGCCCTCTTTCTCAGGCCGAGGTATTTACAAACTGAGGATCAGTCGGTAATCTTCAAGCGAATTTTGTCAATATGAACCGGGTAAGCCATGAAAACCAGATAAACGGATTAGCCTTTGACGAAGAGGAGGAGCCTCTCTGGATTCCGTGGTACACATAATGGGAACTAGCGGGCGCGAGAATGCGTAATAAAAGGGCTCCCAGCGATTCTCTCGTTGCAATCTGCTGATCTCGCGAACGTTTGCCCCCTCATTCAAAAGCTTCGAGTTTATGGATCCTTTGCGCTCTGAAAAAGAACGATAATTGATGTGAGCGCGACGTTAACCCACTGACATCGTTAGGTGATTTGAAAAATATGCCCCTATCATTCCCAGACAGCATGAGCTCTGAAAACAACGCATAACATGACTTTAAGGTGCCTTTTAGTCATCTTAATGATACATCTTTTAAAGATGTCATAAACATAACTAAAAAATATCTTAAAGTCATCTTATGCATCATTTTTAGAGCTCGTGTTGTCTGGGATTGAATTTTCTTCTTCGGATCGACATCAAATGTAATAAAACGACCAAAGATGATTTTTACGATTCGAACTATCTATAGTAAAAACTCGCGATTATCCATTTTTGCGATAACAGTTAGAATTTTAACTCATAGTCCTAATCAAGTTGGTTTTAATCAGTCATCAGGTTTGTATAAGATATGTTATCGAGTTTTAATAAATTATATAATACAGCGTGGCAATCAGGATCTTATTAATAATGATTATTAACCTTCACATAGAGCACATATTTTTTGACATCTTAACATAGCACGCTGGGGTAGTTGACGTTCTCGCTTATTTAAATTTCATAAAAGTGTTAATAAAAATCTATGGAAAATTATGAATATACTTTTAACTCTTAGAATAGAATTATATATAAAGAAATGTTTATCGAAAATATTGCAAATATAAAGAAAAACGCGATAAGAACATGAATTTATATAAAATTTTGTAACTTCCCTGAAAATAAATTTAAGATAACATTCTAGAAATTAATACTCTAGGATTTTCTTGTCGATATTTGAACTTTAAAAAAAAATTATTATTACACTTTATCAAAAAGTATAACTATTTTAGTATACAAAATTATATCAATTTTTTCAATCAACAGACAAATAAAATTATTAATAATTTCAACTTCTTGCGGTATTAATCTATTACTGAAAAATGTGAATTTTATTAAAATTATTGCAGAAATTAGCTATATCTGAATCCTTTTTTCTAGAGATTAATATTAAAAAAAACCTTGTGATCACAAATAATATAGGCGATAATAAATAAGTAATCTGCATAAAACTTTTTTATTTATTAAATTTAATATAAAAAATCGAAATATAATAAAAGCTTATCTTTATTTTATATCTTTATTTTACACTTTGATGTAACATATTGCAATCAGAAAAAACTTCAAAGCAATTTGCCTTTTTATGACAAATAATTGAAATAGCCTAATTGTGTTTAAACCTAATATTCCTCACAATTGTAATTTTTTTTATGAAAAGCTAAAATCCTATTAGCTTACAAAAAATTTAATGTTAAAAATCGATTAGGGGAAAGTGAGCAAAGTATACCAGATTTCAAAAAGCTAATGATTAGGATCAATACTTTACACCCGTCATTTTACAAAAACCAGATAAATCAATAGGATTAACTTTATTAAGACTATGCGATAAATTTCTAGTCAGGAATAAACGAGTATATTTACTTCTGATGTAAATGGGTTAATTAGACGAGTGATCCTTAATTTTACTATATTCGCGTTATATGAGAAACAGATTAAAAGGAAAGAGGGAAATCGTTTCGGTCGGCGTTTATAAATCAAACGTGCTTTGAGTCACAAATGCGAGATTTGCATATCTAACCTGAAACGCACAAAAAACTAGGGTAGCATCAAAAACTGGGATAACGACGGATAGAATGGCTCTATGCGCGCGCGTTTCCAAATAATTTATTTCTTTTCCCTAATATTCCCCACAAGTATAATTCTTCTTTTAACATGGAAAGCTAAAATCTTTGTTCTATTAACTTATAAGAAATTCAATGTTAAAAATCGATTGGGGAAAAGTGAGCAAAACATACCAAATTAAAAAAAGCTAATGATTAGGATCTGATACTTTACATTAGTCATTTTACAAAAACCAGATGAATGATCTCCCAACCGATTTTTAGCATTGAATTTTTTGTAAGCTAATAGAACAAGGATCTTAGCTATCCACGTTAAAAAAAAATTACACTTGTGGGGAATGAATAGGATTAACTTTATTAAGGCTATAGAGTAAATTTCTAGTCAGGAATGAACGAGAGAGAGAATATATTTACTTTTTCAAGAAATTTCACTCGCTTCCCAACCCACATTCGTCACCGCGATAAGTGTTAACCTTTCTAAATATCGTACGTTACTTCTTACACGGAAAAAACAATTCTATTGCAACCGAATTTTCGGTTTGATTCCATATTTTATATTTTATTGTAATTTAAAAAATCAAATATTTCGTAAAATCGATATATTTTTCGTCAACCACATTTTTTTTAATGGCATCGTGTTTAAATAAATATCTTTCCTCGTCAGCATATGCATAAAAATGTTCAAATAAAATCAACGCGAGAAATGAATACTTCACCAAATATTTCATATTTTTTTACTTTGATTCCATATTTTATATTTTATTGTAATATATAAAAATTTAATATTTCGTAAAATCGATATACTTTTCGTTGACCACTTTTTTTTAATGGCATCGTGTTTGGCTTTAAATAGATATATTTTTTCCTCATCAGCATATGCATAAAAATGTTAAAATAAGATCAACGCGAAAAATAAATACTTCATCAGATATTTCATATTTTTTTACTTTGATTCCATATTTTATGTTTTATTGTAATATAAAAAATTTTATATTTCGTAAAATCGATATAGTTTTCGTTGACTACATTTTTTTTAATGGTATCGTATTTGGCTTCATATAGATATATTCTTTCCTCGTCAGCATATGCATAAAAATGTTAAAATAAGATCAACGCGAAAAATGAGTACTTCACCAGATATTTCATATTTTTTTACTTTGATTCCATATTTTATGTTTTATTGTAATATAAAAAATTTAATATTTCGTAAAATCGATATACTTTTCGTTGACCACTTTTTTTTAATGGCATCGTGTTTGGCTTTAAATAGGTATATTTTTTCCTCGTCAGCATATGCATAAAAATGTTAAAATAAGATCAACGCAAAAAATAAATACTTCACCAGATATTTTATATTTTTTTACTTCGATTCCATATTTTATATTTTATTGTAATATAAAAAATTTTATATTTCGTAAAATCAATATAGTTTTCGTTGACCACATTTTTTTTAATGGTATCGTATTTGGCTTCATATAGATATATTCTTTCCTCGTCAGCATATGCATTAAAATAAGACCAACGCGAAAAATGAGTACTTCACCAGATATTTCATATTTTTTTACTTTGATTCCATATTTTATATTTTATTGTAATATAAAAAATTTAATGTTTCGTAAAATCGATACAGTTTTCGTCGACCACATTTTTTTTAATGGCATCGTGTTTGGCTTTAAATAGATATATTCTTTCCTCACCAGCATATGCATAAGAGTAAATCAAAATAAGATGATATCAGTTAAATAATAGGAAAAAGGTTCGTGTTCAAGTACGGGATTAATAGTGCTATGTACCATATGGATAAAACCTTCCTTGTGTTAGGAAATAGAGCAATATTTATTGAACATGAATACTCAATATAAATAATCAAACGTTTCGGCTCAATCATGAACCCTCTTCAGTAATATAAAAAAAAAATAAAATGAATGCGAAAAATGAGTACTTCACCAGATATCATCTGTGACCTAATCCTACATCGAAGGAAGGGAGATTCCATAGCACACCGCTCTTTCTTACGTATTTTCATAGGGACAACAGTTTCTCCACTTCATTTTCCGATAAACGGTTCGGACAGATCCCGAGGACAGACAACGTATCGTACATGACAACGGGACGGGCCGGGAATGTCCGTTCGCGTTCAGCAATCTTATCAAAATGACACGGAGATCAGCTCGGATACGATTGTTACCTCGAGGGGACGCACACACGAGTGGCGTGCAGCGCTCGCTAACTTAGTCAACGGCGAAATCTCACGGTTCATTTTGTCCGGTCTCATTGAGAGACTCTCTCCTCACGCGTCGTTTAACCCTCGCGCTCGCCGGGGATCGTCTCACGATCTGTGCACGGACAATTTTCCGCCTCTCCACGTCGGACCCGTTTACCTAGCGCGGGATCGCCAGCGAAAGGGAGCAAACCGGGGGGGAAAACCGCCAAAAACTTGTCAGCAAATTTGAGCGCGAACAAAGGACCACCCGTCGACGCGCCGTGCCTCCAAACGTCGAGATTATCATTGTGCCGATATTTATCTGCCAGTTTCTAACCGCGGTTCCTTGGCCCCCGTGTCATTGTCGTGCGACAGGACCGGCGAATTCCGTGCCGTGGGCCACGTTTTTCGAGTTGACAAATAGACGGACAATGAGACATTCCTACGCGGATAGAATAACCCCATTTAACTACCGTAAATCTCCCTTCCCCCGTTGGCCGTGCTCCGCGATCGTGATCCGAAATGCTTTCGCGGAAAGCTGATAGAAATCGAGTACGCTCCTACGTAAATTCCGATGCGCGGCCTCTTAAACAGATTATATTGTGCCACAAATTTCTCCGTCGCATTTTCGGCCAGCACACACGCGGAATAAGTAGCACGCACAATAGAGATATAGGGAAGATCCGTCAGAGAGAAATCGGAGTATGTCAGCGAGCTGCGCACCATTCATGGAAAAAGAAAGATCTGCTACATATGGACAACTAAACATAATTTGCTGTATTAGCCATTTTTTCTTTGCTACAGGAGCCAATTTCCTTGCTATGATAACAAGAAAATCTGCTCCTGCAACAAAAAAAGTTTGTTGAAAAGTACTAAAGCAGGAAATTATGTTCAGTTGTCCATCTGTAGCAAATTTGCTACACTGAGAGAAAAAATAGTTGGAATAACTATAATCTCACTGTATTTTATAGTTCGTTTTGGCCTCAAACATACATCTATAGTTCATCTAAATATGAAGATATAGTAGAATGAACACAGATTTATAATCACCATCTTATTACTCTATATATAGGTAAAGCACCCTTTGGGTTATAGTTACATGTATCTATATTTGCCAAATATTCCAATTGAATAT